TGCTCACTAGGAGGTGTTGCCATCAACTTGCTGGATGCAGAGGATGTGGTGGGAGGCACCGGCTGGGGACGCCCCAAGGGAATCCCCAGGGGAAGATTCAGAGCCAGGGGATTGGTAGTGGGATGGCGATGAGTGGCCAGTGCTTCAGGGAATCGGCTTCCTCCCCCCATGGCAATAGATAAGCAGAACAAAGGCAAAGGAGCCTTCTTACCAGTTAGAAATTTTAATAATCACAGTAAAAGAACAAAGAACACATCTCCTAGAAATGGCGGTGTTCCCAATTAAGTTCCCTCCCCTGTCCGTCCCTAGTCGCCCACGTCACTCCTACGTCTTGTAATCTGATCTTGTACCCTCTGCTCTTTCTGTTCTGACACTTTCTGAGCTCTCTGTGTCTTTGGGGATGGGGGGGTGAATGCTGTCCAGAGACTGTGAATCTGTTAACTCTCTCTCTCCTAGTGTTTCTTCTGCTAGCTGTTCCCCATCCAGTATTTCCCAGCTTTTGCCTTCTAAACTGTGCCCCTCGGCAAGCCACTGTTCCAAATCTATACTGTCCTCCTGCTCCTGGGAAGATTCAGGATCAGGAGGGGGTGGCTCCCACCATTCCTCCTCAGTGCAGCCCTCTTCAGCACGGTCCCTGACAGCCAGGGGAGGAGGAGGTGTCAGAAGCTGGAGACGCAACAGGGTTTGGTGAGCAGGAAGAGTCTGTGCCAGAGAGCAGTTCAGACTCTGAGGATGAAGCAAAGGTTGGGGAGGAGGGGGATCAAGAGGTGGCTGAAGAATCCAGGGAGTCTCCTCCTGCTGCTGTGACCAGATCCCCTTCCCTCCTGGTCTCTGAGAATGCACAGAGAAATGAAAAGGGCAGAGGAGAAATTAGCTGTGTGCAGGTGCAGTTTGAGACTGCATGGGGAAACCCTGGAGAAGAGGAACCTTAGAGAGGGGTGGGAAGGTGAGGACCTTCACTCCTCGTAGCTGGGTCATCAGGGCAAGACCTACTGGGAAGGATTGTCGAGACCACTAGGCCTGAGCTGTATTTTGGTGTCCTTGAATAGTTCACTTCATTGCCATTGGTGGTTGGTTAGTTTGGTGCTGACCTGTGTCTGACTCCAGCCCTCACAGGTGTCCAGCAAGTCAGAGGTCGGGAGATGCAGAATAGCTAGGGCGCTGTCTAGCAAGGAAGGGGAGGGCTGCAGCTAAGTGGAAGAGCAGAAGGTCCCAGGTTCGATCCCTGGTATCTCCAGTTAGGCCTGGCAAGGGGGGAAAATCTCCTCCCTGAAACCCTAAACAGACACTGCCAGTCAGTGTAGGCAGTATTGAACTAGATGGAATAATGGTCTGACTCCATATAAAGCAGCTTCCACTGCCCCTTGCTTCAAAACCTTGAGGACTGGAATCTTAGCATTATTTTAAAGAGATGTGTCATAGCTTAGTGTCAGAGCACCTACTTTGCATGCAGATGGTCCCAGGTTTCAAATCCCGCCACCTCCAGGTAGGTCTGGGGACAAATATCTTCTAGTTGAAACCCTGGAGAGCTGCTGCCAGTCAGTGTAGACAATGCTGAGCCCAATGGTCTGGTTGGTCTGGCTCAGTATATTAACAGGGAGAACAGCAGTGAGATCCTGATCCAAATTGTGTCCTTACAACACCATTGCTCACCTTGGGACAGTGAAGTCACTGGTGCTGACCACACAAATATACTCGAACCAGCTCTGGCTGCGGGTGTGACAAATCCCCCCCCCCCCTTCAGTTTGAGTGTTTATTTTCTTCCCTTTCATCCAGGGTTCTTTTCTTTTCTTCCCAGCCTGATCCATGGAACACCCATATCTGGAAAGGCATCAACGGCACTCCCACCAAGAAGAGAGCCATTGGGTTTAAAAAGTTAGCCAAGTAAGTGAACTACGTTGCTGGGTCTGCCAGAACTAGCTGGGATCATTTAGCTTGTGGGGTGCTGCACTATGGCTACATCCACACCATGTACGTTTAAAGCACTATTATACCACTTTAAACCATTGTGGCTGTTCCAAAGAATCCTGGGAGCTGTAGGATAGCTGTCCCAGGATAGCTCTGTTTGGTAGAGCATGCAACTCTTAATCTCAGGGTCCTGGGTTCGAGTCCTATGTCGGGCAAAAGATTCTTGCATTGCATGGGGTTGGACTTGATGACCCTCGTGGTCCCTTCCAACCCCTACGATTCTATGATTCCAGAAAGGTTCAGCCCACCATCTTATTATTATTTTATTTATTGAATCTATAAAGGTAAAGGGACCCCTGACCATTAGGTCCATTCATGGCCGACTCTGGGGTTGTGGCGCTCATCTCGCTCCATTGACCGAGGGAGCCGGCGTACAGCTTCTGGGTCATGTGGCCAGCATGACTAAGCCGCTTCTGGTGAAACCAGAGCAGCTCACGGAAACGCCGTTTACCTTCCCGCCGGAGTGGTACCTATTTATCTACTTGCACTTTGACATGCTTTTGAGCAGGGACTGAGCAACGGGAGCTCACCCCGTCGCGGGGATTCGAACCACCGACCTTCTGATCGGCAAACCCTAGGCTCTGTGGTTTAACCCACAGCGCCACCTGCATCCCTATATACCACCCTATATCCCCGGGGTGTGTGTGTGTGTGTGTCTCAGGGCGGTTCACAGAATAAAATCAAGTATATTAAAAAATGTGAGGTCACTACAAAATTAATTCACCTGGGATGGCAAAATCTCTTGAGCCAGCCTTGCGTGGTAATCAGACCATTTGTATTCAATCCACCCCAAAAGTCTTGCAAAAATGCAAGTCCGGCCTGAAAAATAAAACTAAATCAAACCTTTCTCGTTTATTGAAGATTATCAGAGCCACCCGTTGACCCAGTTAAGTTGCATTTACCGATGTCTCTCTGGGGCTTGTGAGGCATTTCTCAATCATTCTGAGAGCTTTACGGGGCGCCATGGCGATTATCGTTTGGGTGGAAATACCTTTCTACCCTTCTGTATTCTTTTGATTTAAGCTGTGCGCAGGGTAAGCTGAGTCTGCTTCCCTTTAGAAGGCTGCCAGCATTTTCTTTTATTCTCAGTGACCTTTGTGCTTCTTCCCTGCCTTCAATTTTATGCAAATCGTTTTGTAAGCACACACACACCCCCCAAAGAAAGAGGGTGAGAACTGGTGTTGATATAAGCTGCACACACACAGACATGCTCCTATTTTCAAGGGAGAGAAGAAAAAAAGTATTAGCGCACTTGAGGAAAATTCTGAGGTTTGCAGTGGGGGCAAAACAATTGCTTGAAAGAGGATTGGACAATGGCTATGTTCTGCCTCCACCATCGGAGGCAATTATACTTCAGAATAGGTCAAGGTCAAGGACCCCTGGACAGTCAAGTCCAGTCAAAGGCGACTATGGGGTTGCGGTGCTCATCTCGCTTTCAGGCCGATGGAACCGGCATTTGTCCACAGACAGCTTTCCAGGTCATGTGGCCAGCATGGCTAAACCGCTTCTGGCACAACAGAACACCGTGACGGAAACCAGAGTGCACGGAAATACTGTTTACCTTCCCGCCACAGTGGTACCTATTTATCTACATGCACTGGCATGCTTTCAAACTGCTAGGTTAGCAGGAGCTGGGACAGAGCAACAGGAGCTCACTCCATCGTGGGGATTCAAACCGCCGACCTTCTGAATACCATCCACCAGAAACCTAGGAAGGGAAGAGAGCTGTTGTACTCAGGACCTGTTTGTGGGCTTCCCACAGGTATCTGGTTGGCCACTGTGAAAACAGGATGCTGGACTCGATGGGTCATTAGCCAGGGCTCCTAACACAGACACCCCAGTAAACTAGCCCAGTAAGATTCAGGCAAAGCATACACCTCATTAAAAGTAACTGATCAGAGGCGCTTGCTGTTAAGAGAGCATCTTTTCAATGACTTGTGCCGTCCCTACTTAAAAATGTCATTTTTCACCTGTGCAAAGTTTGTGTGTTCATAGAATCATAGTTGGAAAAGACCCTGATGATCATCTAATCTAACCCCATGCAATGCAGGAATACGCAGCTGTCCCATACATTTGGTTCAAACCCACAACCTTGGCATTGTCAGCACCAGACTCTAACCAACAGAGCTATCCAATTGGTTAGGGACCTTCTGTCTGTATCAGGAACCTGTGGGCCTCCAGAGGGCATTGGACTACAGTTCCCATCATCCCTTGGCATAGGCCATATTGCCTGGGGCTGGTGGGAATTTGAGTCCAGTGACAATGATGAAGACTTGGCCAGACGTTGGAGATATTCTTCAGAGATCCAGAACATGGGGAGCTCTGAGAAATTAATAAATACGATTTGGACTATAATTTGATCTTTTTTTATTTTTAATTGAAGTATTATGATTGGATATATTAATTGGATGATTTTTATTAGAAAATCAATAAAAATGATTTTTTAAAAAGACTTGGCCAGACGCTATACCCCCCCCGGCTCACTCAGAGAGCCAGTGTGGTGTAGTGGTTAGAGTTTCCGACTAGGAGCTGGGAGACCAGGGTTCAAATCCCCTGGATGATCTAGGGCCAGTCACTGCCGCTCAGTCCTAACCCACCTCACAGGGTTGTTGTGAGGATTCGGTGAGGAGGGGGAGAACCATGAATGCCCCCTTGAGCTCCTGGGGGGTGGAGATGGGAGATAAGTGCAATCAGTTGATCCAATCATACCTGCAAGATGTATGTTTTACCCACGTCTCATTCAAATGTTTCATTCTTAGGTGTGCACTTCTTAAATAAATCATAGGTGTAGACCTAAGGAGCATCTGAAGTCAATTCACCTTTACATGGAAGGTTTCATTCAGTGCTTGTGGTTTTCTTGCTATCATCGAACACATGGGTGCACACCTACCTTTTAATGTATTGAATGCAAACTCTACCCTGCATATGCAAAAAAATAGATAAAAATAAACATGTTGAGAGTAACCAGGAGGAAAGATCAGATCAGCTCCCCAGGTCAATAAATCTTCCTTCTTTTCCCCCCGCCCTTCCAGGGCTGTGAAGTTCTCTGCCAAACTGATGGGGCAGGCAATGGCAAAGAGAGTCAAGGCCACTATCCTGTATGCCACGGAAACTGGAAAATCCCAGGTCTATGCAAAAACCCTGTGTGAGATCTTCAAGCATGCCTTTGATGCCAAGGTAGGATCCTGGCTGTCATTCCAGAGTTTAGCTCAACTTCTCCAACTCTCCAGCAAGGAGCTGAACTGGTTTTCTTTGAGGACAAACACATGTAACTTTTGTCAAACCTTTGGGCCCAGCCTGCGTTTAAGAAAGCTTTTCCTCTTTAAGATCAGGCTTTGGCAGGTGGTTTGGGGGGCGGCGTACTGAATGGTTCTGCAGATTTGCAGAAGGCACTAACTAGCTAGTCACCATTACCTCCCTGACCTGTACATAAAGCTGTTCATGTTTTGTTTTGTCCGTAAGGCAAAGAAATAAATGGATAAGCACGCATTTTAAAAGCTAGCCTGTCGTGAAGCCGGGAAAAGTCAAAATACAAACATGTACTGCATTTATATGTTTATTTGTGTGTTTGTTTGATAAAATTAACACTGGGTGGTAAAGAACAAAACCAAAAAAAATCCGCACTAGGTTCAAGAGTGGGCCCACATACAGCGTGTTACAGTAATTAAGCCTTTGGGACTCCTAGACATTGTTTGATTCCAGTTCCCACCATCCCTTACTGTTGGCCATGCTGGCTGGGCCTGGCAGGAGTTGGCAACATCTGGAAGGCGACTACAGGTCATTCCATCCTGGACGGCCGTCAGGATCCTTCCCACGAGCCTCTCTGTGCCCTTTTTCTCCAGGTGATGTCGATGGACGAGTACGACACTGTCCACTTGGAACATGAAACTCTCGTGCTGGTGGTCACAAGTACCTTTGGCAACGGAGACCCACCAGAGAACGGGGAGGTAGGAGGGAGATTTTCCTTGTTCATTTCGTTGGGTTAGGTTGACTGAGTCTGCAGATCTTTACCCACAGCAGAAAGGCCCGAAATTGTGATTGAAGATAAGAATGAAATGCAGGTCCCCTCCAGATCTCGTTGGCTTCAGGAAGATAGTGGTCTCATGTGCCTTCAGATCACATCCTAAAATGTTGGCTTTGTTCTTGGCAACTTGTTATGGTACTTCTGGAAGACTTGACGTGGTGGAGCCACAGTATTACAAAACAGTCTCGCCTGTAGCTGGGCGGCTCCACTAGCCTGTAGGGAAAGTAACGGTTCCAGTATTGGTCAGCTTTTGCACTTAGACACCATGAAATCCTTCTCCCTGCACCCACTACAAAAAAAGAGGGCAAACCCAGCCCACATTTTCTTAGCTTTAACTGCCCTGTATTAATGTAATGGAAATGTTGGTGGAAGGTTTGAAGGCAATGCTGAGAGATGATCCCTAGCTCGGTCAGTCCTAAGCACCACCCACAATGCGACAGACCTCCTCCAAGGCATTTGACCATTTCCCCCTGTTGCACTGAGGGCTTTTGGGGAGTTGAAGTGCAAGTTGTGGTGCAGTTCATTCGGGGGGGGGGGATATGCCCTTGTTGAGCAACATAAGAAGCTTCCTAATTCTGATCCCCAAGTCCAGATTTGTGTTGGATTTTTTTCCCATCCATTGGAGCCTCAGCTTCAGGATCTGTCCTTCCAGTGAACACTCAGTCCCATGGACTGCAAGAAGATCAAACCTATCCATTCTTAAGGAAATCAGCCCTGAGTGCTCACTGGAAGGACAGATCCTGAAGCTGAGGCTCCAATACTTTGGCCACCTCATGAGAAGAGGAGACTCCCTGGAAAAGACCCAAATGTTGGGAAAGACTGAGGGCACAAGGAGAAGGGGACGACAGAGGACGAGGTGGTTGGACAGTGTTCTCGAAGCTACCAGCATGTCTGACCAAACTGCGGGAGGCAGTGGAAGGCAGGAGTGCCTGGCGTGCTCTGGTCCAGGGGGTCACGAAGAGTCGGACACGACTAAACGACTAAACAACAACAACAAATGTTTTAACTTAATTCTGTTCAATGTGCCTGTTCTCCCACATGTTTACATTTCCCCTCATTTCCCAGAAATTTGGCTGTGCTCTGATGGAAATGAGGAATCCTAACTCCAACCTCGAAGAAAGAAGGTGGGTGTGCTAACCCTGATCTAGGAATTATGAATTGCGTTGGTTGTTTGTTTTTTACAAGAAGCCCAAGATCCATCAACCAGAGCCAGGTGCAAAACAAAGACAGGAACTGAAGGCCAGGGTACTTCCGAGCACATTCTGAGCCTAGGCATTCGCTTTCAGTTTCAGAACTGATTTGAGCTCACAGTCCTTTTGTACACACACAAGTCCCAGTGGACTGATAGGGTGGGAGGCAGGGAGCCCAACAGAAGGTGGTGCCAGAGCCAATAGCCAATGGAGCCAGAGCCTCCTCCCTGTTGAGTTCTGCAAGGGCAACAATAAGACTAAAAGGGAAGATGGCAGGCAGGTGGGCTCCAGCTAGCTGGCTGGGGACAGGCTGAGGTTGACAAGGCAGTGTGCCCTAATGGACCAGCCTGCCCTGTCAAGTCTTCTCCTTGACTTTCTTTGATTGCAGCAGCCTTGTTCAGGTGTGTGGGGGGAGGTCATTTGGTTGCTGCTGCTGTTGAAGAACTAGGAGTCTAAACCCCTTGCTGCAAATCACCAAGAAGCTTGGAATGCAAAATTCCTAGGACGCTCATCCACCAATGATTTCTCAACCACCAATTAGGAAGCAGTTACCCTGAGCAGCCACTAGGTGTCAGGCGTCCATGGAGTGAGCCTCTTCCTTTGACCAGCATAGTGGGCTAGTTTCCTTTGACCAGCATAGTGGGCACCTTGAGAACCAAAATAGATCCGTCCTGATGCAAATGATCTACAACTAGATCTCCTGACTACTTTTTTAGTAGGTCTAGTGGTACTATCAGTGGAGCCTCCCTTACAGGGATGTTGAAAGGATTTGAACCTGGAACCTGCTGCATGAAAAGCAGACACTCTGCCACTGAGCTATGGCTCTTCCCTAATATATAACAAGCATAGGGAGTTGTCTTATACCAAGTCCAGGCCGTTAATGCATCTAGCTCAGTATTGCCTACAAGCAGAAGTTCTTCAAGCTTTTAGGCAGGGGGTATTCCCAGCCCTGGGGATGGACCTACACGCAAAACAGATTCTCTGGCACTGAGTTACCATCCTGTTTTGCAGGAGCTACAAAGTGCGCTTCAACAGCGTCTCCTCGTATTCGGATGCTCGGAAATCTTCGGCTGACGGGCCTGAAGCCAGGGACAACTTTGAGAGCACCGGTCCGCTGGCCAACGTCAGGTGAGCAGGGCGGGAGAACAGTGGGGAGTTCAGAGCTCACATTGCAAAGCTGCAATCCAGCAGTGTCCAGGAGCTGGAAGACATAGTATAATCGTGCCCCAAGAAACAAATCTCACTCAGCCTTTTGTCGGGCTGAGAGTGACCCCTGCTGGCTCTGCTTGGCCGTGCAGCCACCCCCTCGATGTGTGCTTCCTTGCGTACAGATAGGGATGGGGAAATTTCGATTAAGTTCTCAGCTGGAGGCGAACCAACCCAATCTGCACTTTCCAAAAGAATGTGCAAACTGAAAACTCAGCCGTCCTTCGAAATTTGCAGTTCTCTGGGTTTCGCAATACGGCTATCGAGTCTAGCTCCATGTGCAAAAATGCATACAGTACAGCAAAGCATGCAGAAAACCGCATATATTAGTGGGAAATAGCATACAAAGTGCATTCTGTTATTATGAGACAATCACTTTGAAATAAATGGGTAAATATAAGGGAGAATAGCATATGAGTATGGGTACATTAGGAGAAATCAACACTGAAATGCCGGTTTGTTTTCATGAGGTCTTTAAAAAAATAAAATAAAATTGAAAAAATGAGGAATGTTGACTGATTCACCTCTCCTGCTGTCGTACAGATTCTCTGTCTTTGGACTGGGGTCACGGGCCTATCCCCACTTCTGCGCCTTTGCTCGTGCCGTGGACACGCTCCTGGAGGAGTTGGGTGGAGAACGCATCCTGAGGATGGGCGAGGGGGATGAGCTGTGCGGACAAGAGGAATCCTTCAGGACGTGGGCCAAAAAGGTCTTCAAGGTAGCCACCTTCTCTTCAGCCTCCTGCCAGGAGATGGGATTAGAAGACGGGGAAACATTGGGGAGAGGGTATCTCAGGGCCATGAGGCCAGCCCTGTTGTAAGCAGCTGCTCAGGGACAATGGGTTCCTCAAAGGGGAGATGTTGGGCCATCACCTCCAAGCCATCAGAAATTTGTGGGAGGGTTTTGAACTCATAGCCTGGAGATTTCAATCTGCACAAGTAAAAAGTGGTTTAGAGAGCTGTACTACCCTAGTGCAACAAATCCACCTCAAAAAAGCTGTACTACCCTAGTGCAACAAATCCACCTCATGAGACCAGGGCCCTGCAGGATCTGATTTCTTTCCGCAGGGCCTGTAAGACAGAGTTGTTCCACCTGGCCTTTGGCTTGGAGCCAATTTGATTCCCTCCCCCTCTTTCTTTTTTCTTTTCCTTTTCCTCCTGCGAGGAGGCTACATTTTAATATTTTAATGTTTCAATATTTTAATGTTGTATTTTAATTTTGTTTAAGTTGTAATCATTCAACTTGTTTTTATTATTGCTTGTAAGCCGCTCTGAGCCTGGCCTTGGCTGGGGAGGGCAGGGTATAAATAAATTATTATTATTATTATTATTATTATTATTATTATTATTATTATTAAATCTGTGTGATCTGTGGATGGGTTGTCTGAAGGGTATCAGAGGCCCCTCGGCTCCATCAGGAACTGGAATTATTTGGCAGCCACAGGTGCGAGAGGTAGGTAGGAGGGAGAAGGAGCTGGTGGGCTCTGACAGGTAGATGTTTGGGGATGGACAGCAGAGGCCCTCTCAGAGGAAGCAGCTCTGTCTGCTCTCTCTCCTGCCCCAGAGGCAGATTTAGGGGAGTGCGACCTGGACACAGAGCTGCAGGAGGCACCGCAACTATTATTTAGAATAGAGTGTGAGAGGCAGAGAGCGCTGAATTTTGGCATCACACAGGGCGCGGCTGAAATTTGAGACTCCAAGGTCTGCCCCTGCCAACCCCCTCCGGGAATCACAACTAGGGCAGGAGAGACCCATGAGGGAGCTTGCCCTGCCTTGCCAACCATCAGGACATCTTCACAGCTCTGCTTAGCCCACAACAGAGTCCTGAGACGAGGGGAGGAATCCTAGCTGGACACCTTTCTTCCACCCACCCAGCCTGCCTTGCTTTGCCTTGAGAACCTGGTTTGTCCTGCAGGCAGCATGTGATGTGTTCTGCGTGGGCGACGACGTCAACATCGAGAAAGCCAACAACTCCCTCATCAGCAACGACCGGAGCTGGAAGAGGAGCAAGTTCCGCCTGACCTATGTCGCCGAAGCACCCGAACTGACACAAGGTACTGTGGCTTGCCGCTTACTTCCCTGGTGCCTGGTGGGACGTTTTCAGAGGCAGGACTTGGCCAGGCTTGGCTACCCGGTAGCGGTTGCATGAGCAGAGAGGCAGTTGCTCACCTGGCTTCCCAAATCTGAGCATCACTGCAGGTTAGCGGGAAGGAGAGGTGGCGGGGAGTTTGGTGCGGTGCAAGCACGGTGTCGCATTCGCTCCGCTGCCGCCCCACACCACCCCGAGCTCTTTGCTGCCTCACCTCTTCCCCTCTCTCCAACTGGCAGCGATGCTCAGCATTGGGAAGTGTGCTGAGCACCACTGCACTGCCAACACTTCCCTGCCGACTGCTACGGTGGTGCTGTAATAATGTTTTGTGTTGTTTTTGTACTTTTTATAATGTTGGATGTATTTACAACAGGGGTGGGCCCAGGCATGGGCAAACTCGGCCCTCCAGATGTTTTGAGACTACAATTCCCATCATCTCTGACCTGTTAGCTAGCGATGATGGGAGTTGTAGTCCCAAAACATCTGGAGGGCCAAGTTTGCCTATGCCTGCTCTAGCCCCAGGGGCTCAATATGGCCTGACAGGTTTCACATTCCAGGCCGTATGCACCTTCTTTGATACTGCCCCCCACCAGCCAGAATATGTCCTTGAACCACAGTCGTTACACTTGCAACTAGTCCCCGCAAACAAGACTAACCGACTCTCTTTCATTCGCAGGCTTGTACAGCATCCACAAAAAGCGAGTCTTCGCAGCCCGGCTCCTGGCACGTCAGAATCTACAAAGCCCCAAATCCAGGTAGGAGCTGCAGGCTCACTGCTGCCAAAAATGGCAAGTTTGATAGGAACACAGCTTGATTAGGCCCAGAATCCATCAGAATGCATTCAGTTATGAACTAGTCCGCACAGAGCACCAAACCATGGTTCGTTAAACCATCGCTTAATGTTATGTGTGGCCGGTGGCTTAACCATCGTTTGTTTCTCTGACAGCAAACCATGATCTGAAACCATGGTTTGCTGTCTGCGTCCAAACCTTGATTTGCTTTAATGATGGCTCGGTGTTAGCATGTGAACCCAATACCCTTCCATAACCATGTTTTGTTTGGGCACCCAGACACTCGCCAAACTATAAAGGCATAAAATAGAGTCACAAAAAATAGGGTGGGTCCTGAAAATATATACTGTATTTTTCGCCCCATAGGACGCACCAGCCCATAGGACGCACCAAGGTTTTTTTGGGGGGGAAATAAAGGGGGGGAAATTTATTTTTTCCCCAGGCGCTTGTGGGGCCGGCAGCGGGGAGAAGCGCTCTTCTCCCCGCAGCCCACCTGCAGACCAGGTCCGGGGACAGCGGGAAGACGTGCTGCGCCTCCCAGCTGTCCCTGGAGCTTGTGGGGCAGGCAGTGGGGCCTCCCCGCCGTCAGCCTCCAAACCACTTCGGGAGACAGCGGGATGGCGGCGTTCCGCATCCCTCTGTCCCCCAACCTTGTGGGGCTGGCGCTGGGGCTCTCCTGAAGCCTGGAGAGCGAGAGGGGTCGGTGCGCACCAACCCCTCTCGCTCTCCAGGCTTCAGCGAAAGCCTGCATTCGCCCCATAGGACGCACACACATTTCCCCTTCATTTTTGGAGGGGGAAATGTGCGTCCTATAGGGCAAAAAATACGGTATATTCTCGTCCACCAGCCCCCAGGCTTTTGAGGGTGGTGGAACCACCAGGAGGGCCCCCTCTGCCAGTCTTGATGCTTGAGAGGGTCTTTGGAGAAGGGGGGCGCATTTCTGATATTTAGGGCCTGGGTCCTTTAGGGCTTTTAGACACCAACGTGAGCCCAGAAACGAACCGAGAACCACTACCTAAATGTGCTATGGGCAAGGTCTGCCTAATATCTGTAGAGGTGGGGAATTTTATCTGCAAAGAGCGGCACACCCAAAGCCTTCCTTACTCACTTGCTTTAGCCGCTCCACAATCTTCCTCCGGCTTCACACCAACGGACACCAGGAGCTGCATTATGAACCCGGAGACCACCTGGGCGTCTTCCCAGGTAACCACGAAGACCTGGTCAACGCCTTGATCGAACGGCTGGAAGATGCGCCCCCTACCAACCAGCTGGTGAAGGTGGAGCTCTTGGAAGAGAGGAACACGGCTTTAGGTAAGGAGCAAAGGCGCTGTTGTTGTTTTTTCAGTTCTCCTGGTTGGTCAGAGTTGACTTCCTTACGTGGGAGCCATTCCTTGTTGCTTCAGCATCTGTATTTTGCTTGCTTGGGTGCCTGCAGTAGAAGACTTAGGATTGCAGCCAACATTAATCAAATTTGGAGCAGGCCCTGCAGAAATTAATGGAGATGACTAATGGAGGTTCATTAATCTCATTGGGTCTACTCAACGTTTCACCTAGTTGGAGGCAACCCTTTTTCTCCCTTCATTTTTCTTCCTAAAGTTGTTTTTTTTTAAAAAAATAAAAATTTCAAGACTTCATAATGAAGTTAAAACAACAATCTAGTAAGAAATATGAAATAAAATAAAAGAGTTGGGGGAAACGGTACCAAAAAAGCCAGGGTAATAAATTACATTCTCAAGAGACTACACAATGCGTTAGATGTTACAACAAAAACTGACCTGATACAGAGAGAATACAAAACAAATGTTATGAATACCAAATAAAGCCATATTTCATCGGAGGTTGCCATCCCCACAATTGGCCTGTCAAACATGTAACAAATGGCCACCAAATGGAGGCAAAATCCATAGGTTTCGCTGAGCCCTGAGATGCTCTTAATTTATGGGTCCATTTCCCAGAAATGAGAATAAGCATTACTTTATCGAGCCAAGTATTTACAGCAAAGCTCAGGACTCCTTTCAGCCTTGTGAAATGCGGAAGGGAGCAGCTACTGATAGGAAAATGGAACGTGGTTTGCATATTCATCCCCTCAGAAATTGATAAAAGGCACCGCTTTAGCTGCAGCCCAAGATACCCTTAATTTCGGAGCAAAGTGAGAATAAACATTACCTTATTGAGCCAAATATGTGGAAAGAAACCTGAGGACTCCTCCTAGAACTGTGACATGGTGAAATGAGGAGGCAGAGTACCTGCCTTGCGTGCAATCCCCAACAGTATCTCTGGGGAGGCCTGGGAGGAAATCCTGCCTGAAATTCTGGAGAGATGCTGCCAGTCAGTGTAGGCAATACTGAACTAGATGAACCAAGACTGTGGCTCAGTACAAGGCAGCTTCCTGTGTTCCCAGCAGAAAAGTGGTAAGTGGTTTTCATCTTAAATCCATATTCGACCCATCCAAAATGGACAAAAGGCACAGTTTGGGGTAGCCGACAGGCAGGGCTGCCCAGCAGGTAGAGCTGTCTGAGGGTGGGCTGAGGCTGGTGGGGCAGTGCCCCACTTGCCCCGATAGACCAGCCTCCGCTGCAATGCAGGCCAACTGGCTTCTGTCTTGGCAGGTGTCATCAGCAACTGGACAGACGAGAACCGCGTCCCTCCCTGTACCATCTTCCAGGCCTTCAAATATTACCTGGACATCACCACCCCTCCCACGCCAATCCTGTTGCAGCAATTTGCTTTGCTGGCAACCAGTGAGAAAGAGAAGAAGCGCCTTCAGGTTCTCAGCAAGGTAAGTCCGCAGTCTGGAAAGGAGTGTGAGTGTGCTGGTCCCGGGGGGAAGGTTACTGTTACCGTAGTCCAAGTTCAGTCCTGAGTCACTAGCCTGGAAATAGTTCACAAGGTGCGAGGCGAGGTCCGAAGCAGGGAGCCAGGCGGGGACAGGAACACTCGAAGATCAGAAGCAGGAAGCCGGGCGGGGAACAGGAACACTGAAGGAACAGGACTGGATGCTGGCCGAAACAGCTCTTCAATGACGATGTTGCTCCCGCTACCTGGGAACGGGCTGACTGGCCTTTATCTTCTCTGAGGCCAGGGGCGGTCCCGGCCCCCAGGAGCCCCGCCTCTCCTGGCCTTAAGGCGAGCACTCCTCCTGGGAGAAACCAGTTCCCTTCGCCTCTCTGCCCTAAGCCTCTGCAGTTCAGGAGAGGCTGAAGGGTTACTGGGCCCAGGGGGAGACTCACCTGTAGACACTGAGTCTTCAAGGACCGCTGGGGCCAGAATGGATTCACCTGGTGCCTGCTCCTGAGGATCCGGCACAGGTGCAGGCTCCTCAGAATCAAGGCCCTGCCCCAGTTCAGCCGGCCCTGGAGGCGGGGGCTCCTGTGCAGGCTGGGATTCCTCCGGTTCACTCTCTGAATCGGATTCCCAGGCCATCACAGTGAGAATCTTGCCCTGTATATTATGTACTTGTGGTACCTCGGGTTACAAACGCTTCGGGTTACAAATGCTTCAGGTTACAAACTCCGCTAACCCAGCAGTAGTTGCTTCAGGTTGCAAACTTTGCCCCAGGATAAGAACGGAAATCGCACACCGGCGGCACGGCGGCAGCGGGAGGCCCCATTAGCGAAAGCACACCTCAGGTTAAGAACGGTTTTGGGTTAAGAACGGACCTCCAGAACAAATTAAGTTCGTAACCCGAGGTACCACTGTATCATGTTTGCAGGCAAAGCTGCAAATGAACTGTTGTATGTTCCCGTTGGTGCGGGGGGGATTGCCTATTTCCTCCCAAGGTAAGGGAGGAAGTGACAAAGCTAAGCCTGGCAGGACATCTTACTCTATGGTATTAACCCCTTCCGGCACTAATTAGACTTAAGCACATTGGTTACACGAGGCTGATTATCCCACTGTTCTGTGATACAGCTCTTTGCCCCTCACATGCAGACTGATTCGGGTTCTGCAATAAGGGATGTCAATCAATCCGTCCAGTCATGCATCACAACTAGGTCTTAATTGTTGGACTTGGCTGAGATGGCAAACTTAACATGTTTAATTAGAGAAAAACCACTATTGACATTTCTTAAGGATTGGAAACTTCTTACGGACTTATTTTGTGTGAACAAGAAAATTAATTCGGAATATCTGGATTTAAAGATTGAAAAAATATTGGCTTATAGAAAACAGAATAATTGAATGTTAATGAGTGAATACTATATGTAGCTGACAAAGAACCAAAAGTCTTTCTATCTTTTTCCATTTTCTTTCTTTCTTTCTTTCTTTCTTTCTTCCTTCCTTCCTTCCTTCCTTCCTTCCTTCCTTCCTTCCTTCCTTCCTTCCTTCCTTCCTTCCTTCCTTTCTCTCTCTCTCTCTTTTCTTTTTGCTCTTGTTCCTTTTTTAGATTAGGTTTTAAAAGTATTTCTTTTATTCTGGTGTATTATAAAAAATATAGTTTGTATTAGGCATGAACTTTTGTATATATTTTGATGTGTCAATAAAAAGTAGGTGTATTTTTTAAAAACAACAACAACTAGGTCTAACTCAGAGCAGAGTTGCTGAAATGAATGAACAGAAGTTAGACACGTCCATGAAAGGCAAGACAATTCACCCTCCTGCTTCTTCATGCAGCGTGTGGTTAACCTGTGGAACTCACTGCCACAGGAAGCAGTGATGACTGCCAGTTTGAACATCTTTAACAGAGGGCTACACAAATTCGTGGAGGCGGATATCATGGCCTACCAGACATGTTGGCCATATTCTACCCCCCCCCCCCGTCAGATACCCATAGGCTGAGTCCATCTAAGGCAGCCTCTGTCATTGAATTCTACTCAATATTGATCCAGAGCAGATTCCAACATATAGTTAGCAGAGTAAAAACTTAAACATGTTGCAGGATTCCCAAAAAAATAGACCAGAGGCAATTAATATTTCATCCAACAGAGCTTTACTGCTACTGAAGGCAAATGAGCATAACGGTCACAAATCCAATACATTCAGGATTGGCACAGTCCAGGGCCGGATTTAGATTTGATGAGGCCCTAAGCTACTGAAGATCCTGTCCAACTGTCCTTTGTCAACAAAAAATTGTCACTGTTTTTTTGTGTTGAATATGTGCTATATGGTAATTTATGGACCTAATAGGTATCTAAATGCAAATACATTACAAAATATGTATTTTATCAAAGTAATTGTTGAACTGAAATACAATTAAGAAGAAGTAAGTATATTAATAGTGAATTTTGCAGGGGGGGAGGGGCTCTAAGCTATAGCTTGTTTAGCTTATATGTAAATCCAGCACTGGCACAGTCCTTAAGAAATCCAGTTGCAGCAGACTTCATTTAAACTTACAATAACTTATAATGTCTAAAACCTTAACACTAAGCATACTATGTACAGAACACCACAGCAGAAGGAAAGAGAGACAGAAAGAGAAAGTGAAACCCAGGCTCCTTCTGGCCTCTTATTATAATCTGCATGACCTTGACAGAAAGAGATAACACAGGCATCTCCAACCTTCAGCTCTCCAGATGTTTTGGACTACAATTCCCATCATCCCTGACCATTGGTCCTGTTAGCTAGGGATCATGGGAGTTGTAGGCCAAAACATCTGGAGGGCCAAAGGTTGGGGGTGCCTGAGATAACAGGACCAGTTTAAGGCAGCTGTACTCAGCTTCTCTGAAGGAACAACCCAACCATCATGAACTTTCTGCTTGTTCCTTTCACACAGAGTAGCTTCCAGAACCCTCTTGAATGAAGTAGAATAAGAAAGATCTCTACACATCAGATCAAAACTCTCTGCAGTAAAAAATGCAAACTGACAGCTTCCTGTGTCCCCTATGTGCAGGGCTTGCAGGAATACGAGGAGTGGAAATGGTCCAAGAACCCCACCATGGTCGAAGTTCTGGAAGAGTTCCCATCCGTGCAGATGCCGTCCACCTTCTTGCTGACCCAGCTCCCGCTGCTCCAGCCTCGCTACTATTCCATTAGCTCCTCCCCTGACATGTACCCTGACGAGGTCCACCTCACGGTAGCCGTGGTCTCCTATCGCACCAGAGGTAAATTGGGACCACAACTCAGGGGTAGAGCATCACTTTTGTGTGTGGAAGTTGCCAGGTCCTGTCCCGGGCACCTCTAGTTTTAAGGCCTGGTCTGAAATACTGGGGAGCCACCACTAGTCAGCATAGACAATACTGAACTGGAAAGATAGATCAGTCTAAGGCAGCTTCCTGTGTTTGACCTTAAGTTGGATTTTATTTTTTTTAATTACAAAATTTGCATTTAACCAAGGCTTATGAAGAACGGTTGAAAGAGCTGGGTATGTTTAGCCTGGAAAAGAGGAGACTGAGAGGAGATACAGTTGTTGTTGTTTAGTCGTGTCCGACTCTTCGTGACCCCATGGACCGGAGCACGCCAGGCACTTCTGTCTTCCACTGCCTCCCGCAGTTTGGTCAAACTCATGTTAGTAGCTTCGAGAACACTGTCCAGCCATCTCGTCCTCTGTCGTCCCCTTCTTCTTGTGCCCTCCATCTTTCCCAACATCAGGGTCTTTTCCAGGGAGTTCTTCTCATGAGGTGGCCAAAGTCTTGGAGCCTCAGCTTCAGGATCTGTCCTTCCAGTGAGCACTCAGGGCTGATTTCCTTAAGAATGGATAGGTTTGGATCTTCTTGCAGTCCATGGGACTCTCAAGAGTCTCCTCCAGCAACATGGAGATATGAGAGCCATCTTCAAATATCTCAAGGGCGGCCACATGGAAGAGGGAACAAGCTTCTTGTCTCCTGCTCTGGAGGGTAGGACTCAAACCAATGGCTTCAAGTTACAAGAAAGGAGATTCTGACTAAGCATCAGGAAGAACGTTCTGACAGTAAGAGCTGTTCTGACAGTGGAACGGTCTCCCTCGGGAGGTGGTGGACTCTCCTTCCTTGGAGGTCCTTAAGGAGAGGATGGATGGCCGTCTGTCATGGCTGCTTTAGCTGAGATTCCCGCATTGCAGGGGGTTGGACTAGATGCTCCCTGATTCTCATTTCCTACTCTAGAATTCTATTATTTCTATAGCGTTAAGTTAAAGTCACTAAGTGATATACTTTTTCCACTGTCGAGAAATGTTTGCTGTCAAAATTGACAATGAAACTAAGAGGAAGTGACAACAATGAATTTAAGGAAGATTGGAAGGACTTTATTGCATATATACAGAAGCAATGTACACAGGTTAATACATTAACAGGGTTCTAGGACTACTTGTAATTTTATTATGAATGGACAATAAGTACCGGTAATTTGAATGGTTTTTAAATTTACAATGGGCATGTGGTATGCTGTTAGATAATGGAACCAAGGAAGGGACTAGGGGGAAGTCTATTTCTTCTGTTTGGTTTTGAGTTTGTATTGCTGTTGTTTTATTTTTGTTATTTTTGGTAAATTAATAAAATATTAGTTTTTTAAAAAGAGAGAAATGTTTTTGCCAGCAGAAATGTTGTTGCGCACAAACAAAAAGAATAATTTGTTGTGCTATAAGTTTCCACTAGCGCAGCTGCTGTGTTGAAATTCCTCTGTTGTGCATCATTAAAACTCACACATAGCAAAGAGTGTGTTGGATACAAGTTTTGTGTTCCCTCTGCAAACCTGACCGGTCTTCTTCCTTCTGTTTTTGCCTAGATGGGGAAGGGCCAATCCACCACGGGGTCTGTTCCTCCTGGTTCAACCGGATACAGGCGGACGAAGTGGTGCCATGTTTTGTCAGAGGGTAAGATGGGGGGTGGCGCTGTGGGTTAAACCACAGAGCCGAGTACTTGCCGATCTCAAGGTTGGCGGTTCGAATCCCTGCGACGGGGTGAGCTCCTGTTGTTCGGTCCCTGCTCCTGCCAACCTAGCAGTTCAAAAGCACGTTGCGCAAGTAGATAAATAGGTACCGCTCAGGCGGGAAGGTAAACGGTGTTTCCGTACGCTGCTCTGGTCGCCAGAAGTGGCTTAGTCATGCTGGACACATGACCCGGAAGCTGTACGCTGGCTCCCTCGGCCAATAAAGCGAGATGAACACCGCAACCCCATAGTCGGCCACGACTGGACCTAATGGTCAGGGGGCCCTTTACCTTTACCTAAGATGGGGGGAAATTGAAAAAGTGTAGACAGCTGTGGAAAAATTGGACCAGATGCCCTCGGAGGTCCCTTCCAACTCTACAATTCTATGATAATAACACAGGGGTCAGCCTGCTAATGTGTGATCACAAGAAAACTCTTCTTCCTCCCCCCAACGCCTTTATTCAGAGCTCCTGGGTTCCACATGCCACAAGACCCGCAGGTTCCTTGCATCCTGGTCGGTCCAGGGACAGGGATTGCTCCTTTCCGGAGCTTCTGGCAGCAACGGCTCTTTGACGTCAAACACAAAGGTAGGTCCAGTCATCTACATGAGTGGAGCAGGGCTGGGTGGAGGCTGGAGCATTAGGGCAAGTGGGGCACTACCCTCCCAACCTACGCCTGCCCTCACCTATTTGCCCTCTATAAATTTATTATTTATACCCCGCTCACCTGGCTGGGCTTCCTCAGCCACTCTGGGCAACTTCCAACAAAATATTAAAATACAGCAATGCATCAAACATTAAAAGCTTCCCTAAACAGGGCTGCCTTTGGATGTCTTCTCAAAGTCTGGTAGTTTGTTCTCTTTGACATCTGGTGGGAGGGCGTTCCACAGGGTGGGTGCCACTACTGAGAAGGTCCCTCTGCCTCGTTCCCTGTAACTTGGCTTCTCGCAGTGAGGGAACCGCCAGAAGGCCCTTGGGCACTGGACCTCAGTGTCCAGGCAGAACGATGGGGTGGAGACACTCCTACTTGCAACCAGCCCCAATAACATTGCCTGCTGGATTAGGACAGTGGTCCAGATGTCAAGGACTGGACAGAGGAGGAATGGTGGAGACCGACCCCTCCCCTTCTCCTACTCCTACACTTCCCAGAGAAGAGGGAGACAATACAGCAGTACCTCTGTTTACGAACTTAATCTGTTCCGGAAGTCTGTTCTTAAACCAAAACCGTTCTTAAACCAAGGTGTGCTTTCCCTAATGAGGCCTCCTGTAGCCGGTGCCCTTCCACCATTCAGATTCCGTTCTTAGACCAAGGTAAGGTTCACAAACCAGGACACTACTTCCGGTTTTGCGGAGTTCGTAAACCGAATCGTTCGTAAACAGGATTGTTCTTAAACCAAGGTACCACTGTATAGGTTTACAACAGTGGTTTGCAGAAGGTCATAGTTCAGAGGCTGCAGAGGGGTGAAGCTGGGAAATATTGGGAGGGGAACAGGAAGAAGAAGCAGCATAAGGGGAGAGACAGCTAACAGACTTGGTGTCTTTAGAAAGCATTCCAGACCCCCCTTCTCCCAGAACCAGGCGGGCATGGAAAGTAGGAGAACAGAAAGCTCAGAGGCAGAAAGCTCAGATCTGCCAATGTAGGGATGACGTATAATAGGAGAGACGGAGGGGGTGGGACTTTACCCGGAGCAAAGCCATTATGTAAGATAATTCTCCCTGTGAATACTGAATAAAAGACTTGGTAAGAACTCTTCTTGTTTATCTAATTCTTGGCTCCCCACCGTGGGAGGAATCAGGTTCCCTGAAGCCTGGCACCAGCATCCTGTTCTCACAGCAGCCAGTCTGTCAGAAATCCGCAAGGAGGACCTCAGCATAAAAGCCTTCTCCCCTCCCACAGCTTCTAGCAACTGGTATTCAGAAGCAATGCTGCCTCCAAGCATGGGGGCAGAGCATAAAGTAGCCTTGTCCTCCATGAATTTCCCCAATCCTCTTCTACTGCCACCTAAGTTGGTGGCCATCAGTGCCTCCTGCAGGAGGGACTTCACTTCCATAGTTTAGCTATGAGCTGCATGAGAAAGTACTGTGCCCCTTCCCCCCTGCTCCTTAACCTTCCGAAATGCATTGGATGTCCACAATTTCTAGCGTTACGAGAGAGGATGTCCAGAGAGGGATGGCATCTTCCTGCTGCTCAGTCTCCTCTGCGCTCAGCAGGGAAGAGGGCAAAACTAGAATTAGTTAGCTCTGGCTGTCGTTGGCTGCGGCGCCACCTACTGGTGACCTCCCAGCCTTCTGCCCAACCTGCCCCAATGGACACCAGCTACCACTGCCACCTAGAACGTCAAGTTCCCTCTGGGCACGGTATGAAACCCGCTGTTTGTGTCTGATCACTTGTGTGGTTCTTTAGTCCATGTTTTGAAATAGTGGGTTGTTTTTTGTTTTATATATGGATTAGTTGCCTCCTGCTGGCACGCCTAGGAGCTCTGTAAGTACAGCATGAGATTCTTAAGCTCAGGGTTGTGGGTTCGAGTCTCACCTTGGGCAAAAGATTCCTGCATTAGAGGGGGTTGGACGAGATGACCCTCGTGGTCCCTTCCAGCTCTATGATACGATTTGCATTCTCCCCTCCCACCTCCCCAATCTGTCCCCCCAGGGCTGAAGCCATGCCCCATGATGCTGGTCTTTGGTTGTCGACAGTCCAAGATTGACCACATTTACAAAGAGGAGACCTTGCTGGCGAAAAGCAGTGGTGTCTTCAAGGAGCTGTTTACGGCCTACTCCCGTGAGCCAGACAAACCAAAGGTAACCTGTGATCAGCAGTGATTCCTGAGCTAGATGATTCCTTCTGCAATTGTATGGTTCTAACCCACCTGCGGATGGATCAGATTGTTTCACTCACATGTTCTTTCATAAGTCCGTCCAATCCTGTTTCTGCTTTAATCCGAGAGAGGCAGTGTGGTGTAGTGGTTAGAGTGTCAGACTAGGACCTGGGAGACCAGGGTTCAAATCCACACTGGGTCACATTGGTGCAGAGTCACTGACTCTCAGGCTAACCTACTTCACAAGGTTGTTGTCAGGATAAAATAGGTGGGGAAGGAGAACCACATACACCACCTGTAAAGATGGGATATGTGAAGTCATAAAAAATAAGGGTTTGTTTCCCAAACCAATGAATATCTCCATTGCCCTCCTCTGAATCATGGGCTACCTGGAGTTGGTCACTGTCTCCCAGCCTAATCTACCTCAAAGGGCTGTTGTGTAGCAAGGGGAACAATGTATGCTACCTTAAGCTCCTTTTGAAGACATTTTTGTTTAGGCAACTTTATCTTGAGATATAACCCAATCATTTATGGAAGATCAATTTTGTAGAGGATGAGAGGGTTTTTGTAGTTTTTACAGTTGTGTGAATGGTTCTAGAGTTTTCTAAACCGATGTAACGGTTTTTAGAACTTGCATTTTTAGGTTTTATTCTGTTTTTAACATATGTATCACTGTGGTGGGTTTGTGCTGCGAAGCAGTCCACAAATTTGTTAAAGAGGTAACTGAGGTATTATTATTTATATCGCTGTCTAAAAATATGTGTGCAAAGATTCCTCTTTAAATAGGCACTTTATCTGAATGCATGCATTCCTTTAAAAAAACAAACAAACCATAACAACACAGAGGTGTTTAAAATGCATTTGGTGCACATTTTTTTTGAGCCAAAAGCTGCATTTAAAAATTCAGAGAAGCGTAGAATCTTGAGGAAAATTGCATTCTGATCCGTGTGGCGCTATGGGAAGTGTGAATTAGGTTGGCTTGCTTTAAAATGCAACCCAGATGACACTCTTTTCCATCCCTAACTAAGTCCGAATCTTGTGAGGACTGTATAGGAGGATATTGAACCTACCGAATATGTGGCATAATCACAGTCAACCGCAAAATCTGCAGGTTGCCCCTACCCCTACCCCTCCTCCCTTCCTCTTTGGGGTCAGCTCTGCAGTTCATTAGCCTGCCTGCAGGGGGCGCTGTGCTTCAAGGATGGGAGCCTTCTTCCGCAACATGAAAGCAAACACACACACACACCCCATTGCTGTCCGCTTTCCCTTCCCATAGAAATACGTGCAGGACATCCTTCAGGAGCAGCTGGCGGGAACCCTCTACAAGGCGTTGAAGGAGCAGGGGGGACACCTCTACGTGTGCGGTGACGTCACTATGGCTGGAGACGTCCTCAAGACCATCCAGAGCATCGGGAGGCATCAGGGCAAGCTGACGGCAGAGGAAGCCAGCACTTTCATTAGCAAGCTACGGGTGAGCAGCCATCCCCACCACCCAGCATGCCATGGGGGCAGCCTGTGGTGCCAGGCACCCTGCCAGCATCCAGAGTTGAAATCAGGCGGGTCCTGAACACAGGCCCCACCTCCATCACTGCCCCTGGTGATTTTGCAAGGTCCCCGCGCAAGGAGCTTACAATCGAAAAACCAGCTCGGGTCCCCTTGAATTTTAGTGCACCCACCCCAAGGTAATCCCATTGCCCCCCCCCAGGAGGCAGTAGCATCCACTTTGGGAACCATCCTCTTCTCCCTCATTGCCCTGCCACCACCAAGCACTTGGCTCTGAGACTTCTCCCCTTGGGGGGTTCCCCAGCTGCTGTCTCCTTCCTCTCCTTTGCATCCAGACTGTCAAGGCCACGCATGAAGTGAAGGACATGAGGCAGGAGTTGGTAATGCAGGTGAGCTGTGCACAAGCAAGCTGCCAGCTAGCTCTGCCGAAGCTCTTTTTATTAGCACAATATGCAAAACCAGTCAGGTACATTTCGGACTGTGACCTTTACACATCTTCCAATCCTGAGATTGAGGGGTGGTAAAAAGTTATTTTGGCAACTGTTTCCACCGCTTCATTTTCCCCTTGCACAATGTAGGACGAAGGAGACAAAGATCACAGACAGGGCATGGCAGACCACTAAGAGAGCAAAAGGTTAGATAGAGGGCATGATGTTCAGACAGCTGAGGCTTGTCTATGGGTGGAAGTGTGCTCCACACCCGACGGTCTTTCCTTCACATGCACCCTCTTTCCCCAGAACATCCCCTTCACTGGCCTTGCCTCAGGCTCTCTGCGGGTTGTGTTTGCCTGGCCAGGATTTGTCCTCAAGCTTCATTGTTCCCCGGGTGGAGATATAAAGAGAGGGGTTTGAGAGAGGGGTGTGTGGACAGTAGCCTGCCGCACCGACCAAAGGGAAAAAATCAATTTTCCCACTGACATGAGGGGGGGGGTCCCGGAAGCTTGAACAGAAGAGAATGTGGCCCTTGGGATGTTTTAAGTTCCCACACCCATTATAGTAGCCCTTTGCCGTCTTCTCTTGTAAGAAAGGAGATAATAATAATACTAATTTATAATTATAATTTATTATTTATACCCCGCCCATCTGGCTGGGTTTCCCCAGCCACACTGGGCGGCATCCAACAGAATATTAAAATACAATAGTCTATTAAACATTAAAAGCTTCCCTAAACAGATTCTAACTTTACAGTCATACCTTGATTGCCGAACGCCTTGGAACTCGTGTGTTTTGGCTCCTGAACGATTGAAAACCGGAAGCGAGTGTTCCGGTTTTCAAACGATTTTCGGAAACCGAACGTCCGGCGCAGCTTCCGCAGCTTCCGATTGAGTGCAGGAAGCTCCTGCAGCCAATTGGAAGCCACGCCTTGGTTTTCAAACAGTTCTGGGACTCGAATGGACTCTCGGAACGCATTGTGTTCGAGAACCAAGGTACTACTGTACAAGAAAAGAGATTCGGGTTAAACATTAGGAAGAACTTCCGGGTGGTCGGGGGAACCGTTTGACAGTGCAATGGACAGCCTCAGAGGGTGGTGGGGTTCCCTCCCTTGGAGGTTTCTAAACAGAGGGTGGAGGGCCATCTTTCAGGGATTCCTTCATTGCAGTGGGGTTGGACTAGATGACTCATGGGGTACCTTCCGACTCTACACTCCTGAAATTAACCGTGCGTTGGTTTTTCTCCTCCTCCTTCCCACCCGGCCTGCCCCGCCCCCCGCAGGATGACAACCGCTACCACGAGGATATATTTGGAGTCACCTTGCGCACGTATGAAGTGACGAACCGCCTCCGGTCCGAGTCGATTGCGCACATCGAGGAGAGTAAGAAAGACACGGACGAGTGAGTCGGGCCCGCTGGCTTCCTTTCCTTTTCAAACCGGCGCTTTTGTTTCCCCAGAAACATGTGGGCTGGGCGAGAGAATTCCTTTTGTTGATCGGCTGACGCCATCGCTCAAGCTACGAGCCAAGAGTGGGTGGGGATCACCGGGGAGCAGGCATGTTGAGCCTCTAAGCTCCGCATGCAGAAGTTCCATCCCTGGGATTGCCGATTAAAACCGGGGGTGGGGAGCCTCAAACCCAGGGGCCAAATGCAGCCCTCCCGGCTGCTCTGCCCAGCCCTCAGAGCTTCCCCCAAATAGGCCACACCCCTCAGGAGACCTGGCCTTTTTTTGCCTGGCCTGAACATACCTCTCGAACTCTGATAAATTCTTCTGGCTTGCCTGGAGAAAGGGGTGTGAGTAGAAGCAAGCCTACTCAAGCCAGTGTGGTGTAGTGGTTCAGAGCGGTGGACTCGTAATCTGGTGAACCGGGTTCGATTCCCCGCTCCTCCACATGCAGCTGCTGGGTGACCTGAGGACGCAGCCCATTTCTCTTAGAAAACATCCCAAGCCTCACTCCCATCCAGAGTGTTTGTCTAGGGGGGCAGGAAGCGCAAGGAAATGTACCGCTATTCAGAGACTCCATTGGTCTAGGTAAAGCAGATGTGATCCAAAGTTTCTGCTTCAACTCTGATCAAAGGAACATCTGCATGGATGTTGCCCACTGGGCCTAAGTTGGTGGCTGCCCTAGCTATCGCTCACTCTGCGTCTCCAGTTGGCTGCACCATCCCATTCAACTGGAGCTAGGGAACATAGTACCTGCTTGCTGGTCAGAGTGTTGGTCCATCTGCTTCAATATTGTCTACACTGACTGGCAGTTCTCCAGGGTTTAAGGCAGGGGACATTCCTAGCCTTATCTGGCAATGCTGGGGATTGAACCTGGGACCTTCAGCATTCAAGGCAGACACTCAGCCCTTGAGCTACTCTCTCTCTCTCCACATTAAGCGATCCTCCAAGACACCCTCAGCTATTTTCTAGTGGTCCATGGCAGTGAGAACGGAATGAGATCCACTGTTGTAATATTTTGTTCCTTCTTCTGAGCTGGTGGCACCAGCTGACCTAATCCCACCCCAACCCTGCCACCTACTGTCCAGAAATGGTATCAGCCATTCAAATAGGCTTTTTTTTTTGCCACATAGCAGCATTCGCAACATACATTTAAAGCAGATTTATACTGCTTTAGCTGTTGCGGCTTCCCCTGAGGAATCCTGGGAGCTGTAGTTTGTTAAGGGTGCTGGGGATTGTGGGCCTTCGACTGCAGAAGAAAGAGGCAGGCAAGAAAGGCTTATTCCGTGAATTAAACTTAGGAGCTAAGCCTATGGTTTGGTTCATGCATCGTAGTAAGCCAAACTATGGCTTAGGTCACATCCCACACCATACATTTAAAGTGCATTTAAAGCACATCACGTCTCCCAAATACTCCTGAGAACTTACCCCTCACAGTGCTGCAGTTCCCAGTTCCTTAATAAACCACAGTTCCCAGAAATAGATTGCACAGTACATTTTTGCTAGGGCAAGGGTTGCACTGCATTCTTTTCTTGTGCAATGGTAAAACTTGGCCATCCACTGGAGCAAAAGCCCTTACCCCAATAAACAAGTGGACTCTGGATATGGCCCCTGGTTTGGACAGGTCAGGCTCAGATACAGTTCACGATAATCATACTGCTATTGGTGTGTGTAGTGGGGGGGGGCGTGTATTGTTTTATTCTTAAATGTGATGGTTGTTTTTTAACCCAGGTATGTAAGCAGCCTAGAGATGGTTTGTGTTAGGCAACAAATAAATAACAGCAGTTAATAACAATGTATTAATTTTATTTGCCTTCTTTGAAAAAAATTCCAGAACTGGAACATGTAATAGCCATTCAGTTCTAAAAGAAACAGAAAAGACACCCCAGGGGGGAAACTGGTGAGGACATTTGTCTTGTGTTTAAGGTATGGGAATGTTTAGGGATGCAGGAGAGGATATATTGTTTAATGATATCCTTCCTAACTTGCGTTAGCAAGTTCTATATCTTAGCAGAGTAACATTCCCCTTTAAACGCACAGCGGTTTGCTTGTTGCAGGCTTGTCTGAGCCTCTCAATATAAGATTCCTGGTAAGTTCCCTTCTTGTCCCTATTAAAAAGAAGAGACACGACAGTATTATTAAATATAAAAGTAGTTTACTAACATTCATTCAGTTCACAGTTGGATCCCTGAAGGCAGACTTAGGTTACAAAACTATATACACATGTGGAACTATCCCATAAGGGAGTTAGTTCCTAAGTGACTGCAAACAGGCAGTCACTTCTGCTAACACATGGAAAAGCAAAATGGAGAAGAGACAAAGGAAGGAGATGTGCTCCCTTGCCCAGGTTAGGCCTCACACAGACACACAGGCCTCTAGTCACATGCATAGGATGCTCAGGAGGAAACAGGAAGTTAGACTCCTGGCTGGTACAAAGCATAGCATCTCCATGCTAGGAATGTTGTACTTGACTGCTCTGTGTTTCACATCCCACATAAGGCAGTTGCTTTGTGGTACTGCTTGGGGCAGGCAGTCACACAATGCCAAAACGTGGGGTTATGCAGCAGGGTCTAGCTGTGATTTCTGCATTGCAGGGGAGTTGGACTAAGTGATCTAGGTCCCTTCCAGCTCTAGAATTCTATGATTACAGTGGTACCTCGGGTTAAGAACTTAATTCATTCCGAAGGTCCGTTCTTAACCTGAAACTGTTCTTAACCTGAAGCACCACTTTAATTAATGGGGCCTCCTGCTGCTGCTGTACCGCCAGAGCACAATTTCTCTTCTTATCCTGAAGCAAAGTTCTTAACCCGAGGTACTATTTCTGGGTTAGCGGAGTCTGTAACCTGAAGCATATGTAACCTGAAGCATCTGTAACCCGAGGTACCACTGTATATATTATGTGACTGCATCCCTGTTTAGTAGCCAAAGGGAAGCGCTGCCCACTGGCCCAGCATCTGGGGTGAGCAAGTGCATATGATGTTTTCTGCCCAACTTACGAAAGGACAGCATTTAAGCCAGGGAATGCATAACTTGCGAAGGGTGAACGAAATGCATGTGGACTCAAGTGGAGGGGGCGATGCTTTTTTTACATGCCTTACCATGCGTGTCTGATCTCAGCTCTAACCGACGGCTTTTTTGCAGGGTGTTTTGTTCCTAAACGTGACCGCGTCGCGTTGCCCGAGGCAGGAGGCCGAGCCAGGCAAACCGCGGCAGCTCCAGCTGCTCTGCTCCAGCCCTCGAAAAAGAGAGGGGTCTGGACCTTGTACTGACACGTCCGCATCCGCTCCTTTCCTCCAGGGACTTCCGCCAGGCCCACAACAAACGCTCGTCTGTGTCTCGTCCTATTGTTGTGTCCTGAAGGATGTGTTGTTGACGCTTGGATAGCGAGGGAGGAAGAGACGGAGGACAATGTTGGTGATATTTCTCTCCCCTCCACGCCGCCACCCTCTTCTCGCGTCCTGTGGCAATTTATTTTCCTTCCGTGTGACCTTCTCTGGAATCTCCCACCGTGGCGCGATGGCTTTGAACGCAACCTGCAAGCAGCTCTGGCAAAGACACACAACTTCCGCTCGTTCATGACAAGGCCGTCTTCATGGCTGCATGAAACCACCACCCTAGTGGTTGTCATCTGCATTTTGTGTGTGCGTGTGTGTGTGTGTATGCGTGTTCTGGGGTGGGTTTGGAGGGTCACGGTCAGTTGCTGTTGAGTTATGCAGCAGAGGAATGCAGAATCGCCGCTCTTGTCTGTTTGCCAAAATCTCTGCCTAGCATGATTTGCTTCAAGCAGTGGGTCACTCACTCCCCTGTCCCCTCCTGCAACTGCCCCTTTCATTCCTGCAATCTGGCAGGGGGGAAGAGGAAAAGTATGGCGGGCAGCTCCTCCTGTGGCTTTGTTCTTGTGCAGCCTCTCAGTCCTTGCATTCAAGGTGGGACTGGCCTTCGTTGCACAGATAATGGTCGCACCTTCGTATGGCATACCTGCGCAGTCTCTTAACGTGATGCACTGCCCCGCCCTCCCTGCTCCCTTCCCTGCACCTTCCGCAACGTGTTTGAGCACTGATCCAATGGTCGCAAAGTCAGCAACACAGCTGGATATGGCAAGCTGGGTGGGCTGTAAGCAACAGACTGCCAGGAAGCAACTGTGGGTCATCAGGCATTGTGGCTAAAACACTGCTAAGGGTATGAATACACTATTAGAAATCCAAGAGGGTTTCCCTTGTTAAATTCATGCAATGTGCTTTTTCCTTTACTCCTCAGATAGAGAGAGAGAGAGAGAAAGAAAAAGAATGAGAATGGTACCAATGGATCACTTCTGTAGAACCACAGAACTGAGATGGGGAATCTGTGGTCCTCCAGGTGTTGATGGGCTATGACTCCCATCATCTTCCACTGATTTCCCATTCAGGCTGGGGCTGATGGCAGTCGGGATGCGGGATAAATATGATCCAGTTCAGCTTACCTAATTCACACTTTGCCAAACAGTATGCAGACTGAAACATCAGCCGTTCTTTGAAATTTGCACTTCTCCCAATTTTCAAATGCCATTCTCCAGCTAAGTAACACAGATGCATACACTAGAGTAAAGTGCGCATATAAATGCATATATAAGCAAAAGTAACATACACAAAATGCATTGCATTAGGGGGAATTGCTTTGCTTTAAAAAAGTGTACGTTGAGAGAAAATGCAGACTTTTTAGAAGAAATTCGCATTAAAATTCTGGTGAATTTTCACAAGAACAACAACAACAAAATCACGAGCTGAGATGGTAACATGGGGGATCTAATTTAAGATTGAAAAACATGAGAAACAGAGAAAAACAAAAAATGACATATTCGCCCAACATCATGTCCAAGACCATGGGTAGGCAAACTAAGGCCCGGGGGCCGGATCCAGCCCAATCACCTTCTAAATACGGCCTGTGGATTCAGCATGTTTTTACTTGAGTAGAATGTGTCCTTTTATTTAAAATGCATCTCTGGGTTATTTGTAGAGCCTGCTTGGTGTTTTTACATGAGTAGAATGTGTCCTTTTATTTAAAATGCATCTCTGGGTTATTTGTGGGGCATAGAAATTCGTTCATTTTTTTCTTCAAAATATAGTCCGGCCCCCCACAAGGTCTGAGGGACAGTAGACCAGCCCCATGTTGAAAAAGTGTGCTGACCCCTGTCCCAGACTATCTGGTGGGCCACAGGTTGCCCATCTTTGCAACAGACCAAGGCCAAAGAGGACACAGGAAGGAACAGGCAGACTACATTCATGAACTCTCTCTGATGGCTTCCAGAGTTCTCCAGTTACAGAATATGATTGACTATTCTGATAGATCACTGCTTTTCTAGTTTCAGAATAAACCCAGGGCATCCCCTTCCTCCCTAGGGAGATAGATGGATTTCCCAGCAGTAAAAAGCTGAATTACTTCCAGTAGGAAACAGCTGGATCCTAAACTGTTGCCTTCTCATTGAAGGGGTTTGCTGTCAGTGCCAAAAACTCTGTGCTTTTTCGCTTGGTGTTTCCTTTTGCTTTGTGTAAAAAGGACAACACGGGGAGCTGCCAAGGCAGGGGCCTGGTGTCTGTCGCAAGCTCTCAGCATTTGTGAGACGCTAGAAGCTGCCTTATTCTGATTTGGAGCAATGGTCCATCTAGCTCAGTATGGTCTACACTGGCCGGCAGACACTCTCCAGAGTTTCAAGCATGGTTTCCTGCTAGCCCTCCCTGGAGAGGCCATTGGGGGATTAAACCTTGGACCTCTGCCACTGAGCTACAGCCCTTCCCCAAAGGTCGATGGTGAATTCCTTTTGCCCACCTTAAGACTCCTTGAAGCTTATAGACATTTGACCATGAGCTTGGCAGAGCAAGGCAGCAGTTTCCTTGGAGGCCCAAGCATGTGCTTTTTGAATGGGACACACTGCTCTCGTTGGTAACAACATCTGAGCCATGACAAAACCCTGGTTGGGTTTAGGTCCCCTGGTTTGATTCACGCTACCGTATTACGCACCAGAGGTGTGGAGATATTTTCTAGCCCGAGGGCCACATTCCTTGTTTGGCAACTTTCTGGGGGCCACATGGTGGGTGGAGCCAGGGGCGAAGGTGGGTGGAGCAGCACATGCAAATTTCCCCTTTGCCTAGTAAGCTACTTTCTGCTCATGCTCACACACCCTTCTGCGACCTCTGTGCAGAGAAGCAAGAGGCAGCAACAGAGACTTCAAGGACGCATTCAACGCAGGGGGAAAGACCCAAGGAGTGAGGGGCAATTCCTGGGGAGAGTCTCAAAGGCCAGAGAGAGACTTGGAGGGCTGCGTGTGGACCCTAGGCCAGAGGTTCCCCACCCCTGCTATGCACACCTGGAATTAAGATGAACCATGGGAACTTCCTTCTGAGTAGACAAGGATTGCATTGATTTGTAAGCGTAGGTGCAAAACTGGTACAACCAGGTGGCTGATGGCTGGTATCCTTAGCACAGGGGTGGAAAAATGGTGGCCTAGCGGATGCCTCTGGACTCCAACTCCCATCAATCCCAGCTACCGTGGCCAGTGGTCAAGGATGGTGGGAGTTGTAGTCCAGCAACACCCAGAGGGATCGCAGGTACCCCCACCTCTCCTTTAGTCTAACTCAGCATGGCGAGAATCCCCCACGTTCTGGCTCAGTCCAAAATCCCATGTATCCCCACAGACACAAAGTCTTGTCATGCCATGCCTTTGCGATCAGATAACAAATGGAGCCTCTTGCCTCGCAAAAGAATAGAACGGAACCACCACACTGTGATAGCGTCGCATTGTTTTCCCACATCAGGTGACCCGGACACACACTCAGCTGCTAAGAGGATCCCCACCCCACTTTTCAGATGGGTGAGTGCAACTGGAAGTCCGGAGTGCCAGCCAGCTTACTGTTTGTGAGTCAACATGCAAAGGCACGTGAACATTTGTTTCACCTTGTTTGTATCCCGTGTGGATCGTCGGTCTCTCGAGAGGTTGAAAAAGCAACCTGCCAAAAGTGGGAGGAATTGTAACAGGCCAGATCATAAGGAGGGGCAGCAATAAGCCCACAAATAGCTCAGTTTGCTCAACACCCATGCTCAACAACATGCCATGGCAGGTGAAGCTCAAAGAGACAGCGCCATCACCAATCAAACACTAAAAGGCAATGCTAATTTGTGAAAGCTGAACAAGTTCCCCTGAAGAAGATAATTGAAACACATTGGAAACATTACCATTGAACCTCTTGGATTTTGTCTGCTCCATTCTGCTCCCCTCGGAAAAGGAAAACATAAAATCAACCAACCACACTTTGCTCTAGTCCTTTTCAGTGAAAGCCCTCTTGCCTTGCTCTGCTGCTTGTTTGTAGAAAAGGAAGTGCAGTTTCATCTCACGGGAGAGGTTTTCCAGGCTCCTACTACACAAAACAAACAAGTGAACAGCCGTATTCAAGGGGGATCTTTGTTCTATGAGTTGATGCTTGTGTTTTGTCACGAGGAGCCGTTCCTGAGCTGTACGCAGCACACTATGTCAACACCTAGTGGTAGAAATCAAGCATTACAATGGCAGCGTGCACATTTCATTTTTTTCAATCCACATGTTCCAGTGCAAAGGGGTTGCAGATTGAAACAGAAATGTTCCCGTACAGAGATGGTGCAGACTGAAACAGAAATCTGTACCCTAACCCAGGCCATTGAATGAACCCTGTATATTGATTGGGAAAACTCTCCTCTGCTCCCTCCCATTGGCTTCAGCAGGTTAACTTAGACCTAAGTGTCCTCTGGATCAAGCAAGAACAAAAATGCATTTGCCTGTGTAGGGCAATGATATAATATGGGTGAGTACAATCCTGAATGTGTACAGGTCTCCCAAGCACCTGCTAATGTGATCAGTTTCCTCTCCCTATTCTTCAGCTCAGCTCCCTTGTGTCACTGTGCCTTTTATTATTATTGTTGTTGTTGTTATTATTATTATTATTATTATCATCGTCATCATCACTGCCATTAATAAACAACTGATGAACAAATTACAGTTGCATTCCTTGGTCTGGATGGGCAGCCTGGTTCATTTTGAACACCACACAAATGTATGGTAATTTGGAGGGGGGGCAGGTCATATTTAATCATATCAGTGCTTTAAGCGGCCGGAAACATTTTACGTTCCTTTACCTCCGAGCTCTTGATGCTGCCAAGTCTCTGCCGTTTGTACAATATGCTCAGCACCTTTCTTCATGGACTGACTGCTGTTCTTGTTTGCGAGGTATCCACACTGTTCTAAAGCATGCACCTTCTTTCTGTATAGTTCGGATCTTCTGGTTTTATGGAATTAAAAAGAAAAATACTTATGCCTGTTTGCATTGCAATCAATTAAAAAAAAAAGAAGTGAATTGACTCCGTTGTCATCTTCTACTTTGTCTTTTAGGGCCTGCCCAACCTGAGGATCATGGTTCATACTACAATCGGGCTAGGCATTCATTATTCCAGTCATTTATTAATTACCGTATTGTTCGCTCTATAAGACGCACCAGACCATAAGACGCACCTAGTTTTTGGAGAAGGAAAACAAGAAAAAAAATATTTGAATCCCAGAAGCCAGAACAGCAAGAGGGATCGCTGCGCAGCGAAAGCAGTGATCCCTCTTTCTGTTCTGGCTTCTGGGATAGCTGCGCCGCCTGCATTCGCTCCATAAGATGCACACACATTTCCCCTTACTTTTTAGGAGGGAAAAAGTGAGTCTTATAGAGCAAAAAATACAGTACTTATCCATTGTTTTAGGGGGCGAAGCCCACCTTACTTTCCACACAGTGCCTCTAAGCCCCCAATGTGGAGTGACTCTGGAGCAACGCTATGTCAGGGGCTCAGAGGTATTGTGGCGCAATTAAAATGGCAGGTCCCGATGTTGGCATGCGCCAGCCAGACTTTGCTGCTCCTTCTAAGTTTGCAAGCTGTTCACTGTCCGCTAAGGCAGAGATGGGGAGCATCCCATCACCCTCCATCATGGGCATTCCTGGATGCAGCTGACAGGGTTGGAGGAAAACATGTTCCCCATGGCTGCTCTAAGGGAAATCCCATGGGAACTTCAAGTGTTCAGTGAAGGTAGGCATGGAACTGGACAATGGAAGAGCTCAAATGGAAGCCAACTGCAATATTCATTCATTCATTCATTCATAAAAATGAATTCATTCATTTATTCTGTGAACTGCCCTGGAATCTTATGATGAAGGGTGGGATATAAATATAAAAGAAATTATAGACTGCTGTTTATTAAGAAAAAGCAACACACTTTGCTACAGAAATACATAAAACCATGCAGTGAAAACCACATTTTAAAAGTTAAAAACAGACATCAGTTAACCATTGTATTCTTTATTGCCTGCATATAAGCCTGGCAGAACTGAAAAAGTTTTGAAAGTTGGCACGTTAGGCACCTGCTGAATCTCTAGTGGCAAGGTGTTCCACAGGACTAGGCCCATGACACTAAAGACTTAAGTTTCTTTCTGTTGTCAAATGAGCCACACCATCCCGGGGAATGACCAGTGACATGCCTGCAGATGATCTCAAAGATCGAGCTGGGGAAAAGGGTGGAGGTGCCCTGAACCAACAGCTTCGTAAATTAATAGAAAGTCCTCCTTTCAGCAGCAGCAACAGGGAAATATTGAGCTGCAGCCTACTGAAGCTTTCAAGGCTGACAAGATGCAGAGGGTGACAGGCAGGGCCTGTGAGGCTGGGGAGCTGGAGTTACTGCAGGAGACTCACCCTCTGATGGTGACAGGGCTGTGTCTTCCAGCCAGGTGGTCCCTGAATAAGATACCGATGCCCCACCTCACATGAGGCAACAGCTTCTCATCTGCATCAGTGTCCTTTGCCATGCGCTGCATGGTCTCCTATGGACCACAATGCCCACCACACCAGAGACTCTCACGAGGCTCTGCATTGTGCCAGACCTTCACCGGGAGCCTGCGACAGAATGGAGGAATGGTTCTGAGCTGCTGTTTCAAACCACATTCCAGCAAATTCAAGCTGTGCAATTCAGGTTGACTGGGATGTCTTGCACAACAAACCTGCTTCCTCCAACAGGACCAGACTTTTAGGAATAAGGGAGGCGAGGGGATTGCGTGGGCAACACTTGATTGACGCGACATCATCTGACCTCCCCACCAACAAATAAGGATGAATGCTCAATAGACAGGTGGTCTGGAAGCACCTTTGGTTCAAATGATATAATGCACATGCTCTCTCTCACACACAAACATACATACAGAGGGCAAACACCAAGATAAGAGCAGTTAGGCCAAAATTAAGACTGGTCTGGCCCTTCCAATCCATAGATTTGCTTATTTCTTAAATATAAGGAACTGAGCTTTTAATTCCCATGGGAAATCATGATTTCAAGAAGTATGCAGCAACCAGCACAAGCAGGTTGTGCGCATCATACCCAGGATGGTAGGACAGTTCAGTTGGTAGTGATAAAAGATGCAGTCCGGCACACTTTTACTGCATGTGTGATCAAGCAGAGTTACGTCTTGGCGCAGCTCCTGGAAGCTTTTAATGACGGTTGAGCTTCACACAGAAGGCAATAAAACACTCATGGACGCCATAAAGCTTTGGCCAAGTTCTTGTTGACTTGACAGGTCATAAAAGCATAATTAGTAGCAATTATTTACAGCATTTACCGCAGCCGTGGTAAAGGCACACTTAAGTTCAAGACTTTCTCTTTCTCTCTGCGAGTTGCAAGCAAGAGGAAAACAATAAAAGTCACCCTGTTACCAGTGTTTCCTGTAGCAGGTTCTGCACATGTCCAGAGAACAGTTCCTACAATAAGTGTCTTTGCTGAGTCCTGGCAGTGAAATAAAGGTGGGCGGGCCTGGAGCCAAACACGTTAAAATATAAGCATCCATAATTGAAACACATCATAAAACAATCCCACTAAATAAAGCAACACTGTGATTCAGACAAGAGACTCAGGGCAAAGAGATCAAGGGAATTCCTGGGTAAACATAAATATTTGTGGGTTGGGGGTGTCTTCAGTGTCACACAAATATATTTTTTTATTTCTCGGTGGACTGAGGGGTGCACCCCTGGAGTCCTTAACATGGGATCTGCATGGTTTCCCCCCCCCACCAGGAAGGCGTGGGTGGCTGGGCTAAAGTCAAACAATGAAAGTGGAAAACAGGCTAATTTCTCCTCTCCCCCACCCCCACCCCAAAAAGGAGGAATAGTGCCTGCACGTCTTGCTTCATATCTCAGGTCTACAAATGCTAGAAAGTTACTTTAAAAAAAAAGAAAATAGCGGCAATAATAATAATAATAGAAATCTGGGGTTATGGTCCATAACCCAATTTTTGTCTCCCTTCTCAGGTTCTACAAATACAAGAAACCTACTCAAAGTAGGAAATCTGTTTGTTATAGTTCATGGAGTGGGGGGGGGACTATTCCCTTCCCTTCCCCTCTCCCACTCCCCACCCCATGAACCATAACGACTCCAAATTCCTCCTCTTTCTGAAAGTTCCGCAAGTGCTAGCAGATCACCCTTCCTTTAACAAGCCGACAGGTGGACAAAAATGCAAACTGGGAATTTAGTTTCTTTTTCCTGCCCCCTGGGAGATGAGAGGAATACTGTCACCAAAAGAAAAAGGAAAAAAGAGCGAGCAGTGGCCGGTGCGCCTCTATGCGAGGAAAGCAATTCGCAGACGCTCCCTGGGCGGCCCTTTCCTTCTCTCTCTCTCTCTCGCCCGCCTCATTAGTGGTACCCCCCGCCCCCTTTCTCGACGCCGACGTCATTCTCCTCCCGCCTCTTCCTGCCGCGCCCGCCCGCCTCTTTTTTCGGACCACCCTTTTCTGCGCCGCCGGCGCGTGTCTCTTTGGAGACGCCCCCTCGGAGGGCCGCTCAGGTAAACAGGCAAGATGGCGGCGCCGGAGAGGGCGAGCGAGGCGGAGACGGGCCCCGCGGAGTCGGAGGCGGACGGGCCGGAGGGGTTGGTTCTGCCGCCGCCGCCGCCTCCTCCTACAGGGCCCAGGCCGGCCCCTCCGAGCCTGGCGGAGCTGCCGGGGGAGCTTCTGGAGCTAATCGCGTGCTGCGGCCCGCTGAACGCCTCCGACGTGGCCCGCCTGGCCTGCACCTGCCGCCGCCTCAGGGAGGCCTGCCAGCCCCGAGGGAAGGTCTGGAGGGAGCAGCTCCGGCTCAGGTGAGCCCCGGGGACGGGTGGGGGTGTGTGTGGAAAGGGGGGAGGAATGGGGGGGGGCTCGGAAAGGTGGCAGGAGCAGCAACGTCCATAGGTCGTGGTGCCCCTGAGCATGGGCAGAGTGCAGGGAAGAAGGAAGGCCTGGCGTTGTTCTAAGTGCAAAGATGTGCGTGTTTCAGGCCGCGGAACGGTGACGGCGAGAAGGTGGTGCCTCTGGGCATGGGCAGAGTGCAGCAGGAGGAAGGCCTGGCGAGGGTGTTCCCTGGAGCACACACAGCAGCAGTAGTTGCATTGGGTAGGTGGTGCTTCTGAGCATGGGCAGAGTGCAGCAGGAGGAAGGCCTGGCGAGGGAGTTCCCTGGAGCACACACAGCAGCAGTAGTTGCATTGGGTAGGTGGTGCTTCTGAGCATGGGCAGAGTGCAGCAGGAGGAAGGCCTGGCGAGGGAGTTCCCTGGAGCACACACAGCAGCAGTAGTTGCATTGGGTAGGTGGTGCTTCTGAGCATGGGCAGAGTGCAGCAGGAGGAAGGCCTGGCGAGGGAGTTCCCTGGAGCACACACAGCAGCAGTAGTTGCACTGGGTAGGTGGTGCTTCTGAGCATGGAGTGCAGCAGCAAGAAGGCTTGGCGCTGTTCTAAGTGCAAAGATGTGCATGTTTTAGGCTATGGAGCAGTGACGTCGAGAAGGTGGTGCCTCTGGGCATGGGCAGAGTGCAGAGGGGAGGAAGGCTTGGAGAGGGAGTTTTCAGTTCCCTGGAGTAAACATAGTAGGGGTCTGCATAAAAGGTGGATCTAGACGGATCCTCGTGGATCCTCCACTTTTTTAAAATTAATTCCAACAAATGCAGTGTCAAATCACACCTAGAAGGCACGCCTACAAACTGGACTATAAAAAACGTGGATCCAACACTTTGCCGCGCTACAGCACCACAAAAACATGGATCCGAGGCACGGATCCTCATGAATTCATATGATTTTTATATTGAAACGAAATAAAAACACCATGCTACTGTACACCACATCTTAGTCGGTAGGAGGAACCAAAAAAATCACGCATCCACTGTTTCGTGGTGCCGCAATGGCGCAAAAACATGGTTAAAAAACACGGATCCTCATGAATCCTCATGATTTTTGCACTAGATCAGCCCAAACTCACTGTCAAATTACACATCATGTCCAGGGGCACAGCATCCACCACAGAAATCACTGATCACGGCTTCCTGGCCACACCATGGCCCAAAAACGTGGTTTTCAAGAACGGATCCTCATGGATCCTCACACTTTTTGCATTGGGCCACCCCAAACTCACTGTCAAATCACACATCATAGCCAGGGGCACAGCCTACACCACAGAAAACTCGGATCCACTCCTGCCTTGCCATACTGTGGCCCAAAAACATGGTTCCGAAGCACAGAGCCTAATGGATCCTCATGATTTTTGCACTAGATCAGCCGAAAGTCATCATCAGATCAAACATCATGTCCAGGGGCACAGCCTGCACCACAAAAAACTCAGATCCACGGCTTCCTGGCCTCTCCAAGGCCCAAAAACGTGGTTTTGAAGCACGGATCCTCATGGATCCTCACGCTTTTTGCATTGGGCCACCCCAAATTCACTGTCAAATCACACATCATGTCCAGGGGCACTGCCTGCACCACAAAAAACTCGGATCCACTGCTTCCTGGCAACGCCATGGCCCCAAAACCTGGTTTTGAAGCACGGATCCTCATGGATCCTAACTCTTTTTGCATTGGGCCAACCCAAACTCACTGTCAAATCACACATCATGTCCAGGGGCACAGCCTACACCACAAAAAACTCGTATCCACGCCTGCCTGGCCATACCGTGGCCCAAAAACGTGGTTCCGAAGCATGGATCCTCATGGATCCTCATGATTTTTGCACAAGACCAGCCCAAAGTCACTATCAGATCAAACATCATGGCCAGGGGCACAGCATCCACCACAAAAAATCACGGATCCATGGCTTCCTGGCCATACCGTGGCCCAAAAACGTGGTACCAAAGCATGGATCCTCATGATTTCTGCACAAGACCAGCCCAAAGTCACCATCAGATCAAACATCATGGCCAGGGAAACAGCATCCACCACAAAAATCACAGATCCATGGCTTCCTGGCCATACTGTGGCCCAAAAATGTGGTTTTGAAGCACGGATCCTCATGGATCCTCATGATTTTTGCACAAGATCAGCCCAAAGTCATCATCAGATCAAACATCATGGCCATGGGCACAGCATCCACCACAAAAATCACGGATCCATGGCTTCCTGGCCATACCGTGGCCCAAAAACGTGGTTCCGAACCATGGATCCTCGTGGATCTTCACGCTTTTTGCATTGGACCACCCCAAACTCACTGTCAAATCACACATCATAGCCAGGAGCACAGCCTGCACCACAAGAATCACGGATCCATGACTTCCTGGTAAATCCATGGCCCGAAAATGTGGTTTTGAAGCACAGATCCTCATGGATCCTCACGCTTTTTGCATTGGGCCACCCCAAATTCACTGTCAAATCACACATCATGTCCAGGGGCACAGCCTGTACCACAGAAAACTCAGATCCACGGTCATCTGGCAACGGCATGGCCCAAAAACCTGGTTTTGAAGGTCGGATCCTCACGGATCCTAACGCTTTTTGCATTGGGCCACCCCAAATTCACTGTCATATCACACATCATGTCCAGGGGCACAGCCTACACAACAAAAAACTCGGATCCACGGTTATCTGGCAACGCCATGGACCAAAAACGTGGTTTTGAAGCACGGATCTTCATGGATCCTCATTATTTTTGCACTAGATCAGCCCAAAGTCACCATCAGATCAAACATCATGGCCAGGGGCACAGCATCCACCACAAAAATCACGTATCCACGGCTTCCTGGCCATACCGTGGCCCAAAAACGTGGTTTTGAACGTCGGATCCTCACAGATCCTAACGCTTTTTGCATTGGGCCACCCCAAATTCACTGTCATATCAAACATCATGTCCAGGAGCACAGCCTGCACCACAGAAAACTCAGATCCACGGTTATCTGGCAACGGCATGGCCCAAAGATGTGGTTTTGAAGCACGGATCCTCATGGATCCTCACGCTTTTCGCATAGGGCCAACCCAAACTCACCGTCAGATCACACGTCATAGCCAGGGGCACAGCCTGCACCACAAAAATCACGGATCCACGGCTTCCTGGTCATACCGTGGCCCAAAAACGTGGTTTTGAAGCACGGATCCTCATGGATCCTCACGCTTTTTGCACTAGATCAGCCCAAATTCACCGTCAAATCACACATCATGGCCAGGGGCACAGCCCGGACCACAAAAAACTGAGATCCACGGCTTCCTGGCCATACCGTGGCCCAAAAACGTAGTTTTGAAGCACGGATCCTCATGGATCCTTACGCTTTTCTCATTGGGCCAGGCCAAACTCATCGTCAAATCACACATCATGGCCAGGGGCACACCCTGCACCACAAAAAACTCGGATCCACGGCTTCCTGGCAACTCCATAGCCCAAAAACATGGTTTTGAAGAACGGATCCTTATGGATCCTCATGCTTTTTGGAGCATCTCCACGCCCATTGTTCTGCCCAGACACTGATGTCCAGCACCAAGGGCCTTTTGGTGGTTCCCTCACTGTGAGAAGCAAAGCGACAAGGAACCAGGCAGAGGGCCTTCTTGGTAGTGGCGCCCGCCCTGTGGAATGTCCTCCCATTAGATGTCAAAGAGATAAACAACTACCTGACATTTAGAAGACATCTGACGGCAGCCCTGTTTAGGGACGTTTTTAATGTGTGACTTTTTAATGTATTTTTATTTCATATTTTTTTGGAAGCCACCCAGAGTGGCTGGGGAAACCCAGCCAGATGGGCAGGTGTAGTGGTTTGGAGTTACTTGTGCGTAAGCCGACCCCGTTTGGGTGCTTGGGTTGCCTGGTTAAACCCTTCGGACTGCACAGCCCATCTCCGCTTGACTGCCTCAGTCACTGGCAGAATCTGTCTGTGGGCGTTTCTTAAACCTCTGCCAGCATAAAAGCTATTTGACACCTAATCGTCTCCGCCTCTCATTGCGCGGGAGTCTCCTGCGCAGGGTGGGCGTGGGTAGCGGAGTGCCTGGGCTCTCTCCACTGACTTCCAGGGAAGAATCCCGGAGCCCTTCCACCTCCTCTTCCCATTGCTCTCCTGGACTCTTGGTGTCACGCGTATTTCCTTCCCCTTCCACCAAGCTGAGTCTCCCCCTTGTGCTGGGACCTTCACCTGCAGAATCTGAGACCCTCTCCTTCTCCCGTGTCTCTGATGTCAGTTCCCTGACAGTGACCAAAATGTAAAAGGTCTGGAATCCAAGCCCTATGAGGAGAGACTTAGGGAGCTGGATTTGTTTAATCTAGAGAAGAGAAGATTAAGGAGTGACATGATAGCCATGTTTAAATATTTGAAGGGATGTCATGTTGAAGAGGGAGCAAACTTGTTTTCTGCTGTTCTAGAGACTAGGATGCAGAATAATGGATTCAAACTATGGGAAAAGAGATTCCACCTGGGCGTGGTAATCCAGTCAGGGAAAAAGGGAGGCATACTATGTTTAGGGCACTGTTTCCAGCCCCTTCCCCTTTTCGGGGTGAGCATAGTGGATCCTAAAAAGGGCTGCTCAGTCATGGATACAGCTGCTGAGCTGCTCAACTGCCTCATTCCTTGAGTCAGAACGACTGAATGCCCATGTGTCGGTTCATGACTAGGGGCTTCACATTCCTGCCCCCGTAGCCATTTAGTGATCGCCATGGGGGGAGGGTTTGGGGGGTTGGGTTGGGTTTTTGGAAGATGCCTGTGCGTGAATTTGTTTTATGTGTGTAGATCAGTGCACACTGACCAACGCACAGTCTTCGCAGTAGGGCTCTGTTCTGATGGCATGAATAGTCACGACGAACTGGTGGATCCTATCTGCTGCAGCCTTCATCTGCCTTCACAGCCGTTGTAACACACTGTTT